TACTGGCGGAAAATAAATATAAATCTTATATCACTAATGTGACATATTGTTAGGACACCTGTCTATTGTTGAAGATTACATGTCTCCCTCAAGATGTCTTTTTGTTATTTCTGTAGTTTGGTTGCTGTCGCATTGACGTATACCTCACACCTCCTTTTATTCATGCAGCACTTACTTTTCCGTGTGTACTGATGGCTGAATTTTTTTTTATAAATCTGATAGGTAAAGCACTGCCAGTTTTTCTTTGTATCAAATATAGTGGATTGATTTGATTGTTTTCTGCTAAACGTCCAGTGGCAAATATTCCATGCATATTAAAGCCTTTGTGTCAGCAAATCAAATCGTAAAGATATTGCATATGTGTCTACTTAAACATTTGGTTTTTTGTATTTTCTGAGTGAAGAAAGAAAGAATTCTACAGAAACGCAGACACACACTTGCTTCAAATGTGTTTTCTGGAATAAAACCACTCTGCAATTTTAAGCATGTATCGCTATTTTGTCTTAAGTTCAAATAAAGTGGCAGTCATTGCATAGCAAAACTATACCTTATCCTGACTTAACTGTGCTGATGAAAAACTCAACATATCTTTAATTGCATAATAGAGCGCACTGGTTCCCGAAAGTTGGGTAGTATAAAAACAGGTACTTCTGATCCGAGTAACTGTGCAAATATGGCCCCTATCATAATTTCATATATTTTTTTTATTATTCACGAGAAACTTTCGTCAAGGGTTCTACAGTGATCCCAAGACGTGGAGCCTTTCGTTTGATACCAATTAGTTATCCATTTTCTTTTACTTTTGGACAAAGTTACAACTATGCGTAGGAACTATTTTGTTTAACATATGTACTACTTTCTTTGTATGTTCTTTGTGACCGGGCCCGAATTATATACCTTCTGGGTGTCAAGCGCAAAATAAAGGAATTAACGCACACACAGTTTTGGAAAATTAGCGCAGCTCTACGTAAGTCTTACTAATAATTGTCCGGAGACATATACAAAAAAGCAAAAACTAAACGAAGAGGAAAATGACCAAACAAAAAACAAAAAAAATCTCCTTCTTTCGTTATTCTATGTTTTTTATATCAACAATAGTCAGACTCTTTTTCAAATGATTTTGCGACTCTAGAAAAGCCGTTTTCAATATGCAATTGTCTTTGTTCTGTAATATTCTGTCCGGGTGTAATCACTTTGACTGCTTCTTCGGTAGTGTTAACATTTGATTCTTAACTGCAGTGTATATCGATTTTTCAGATCCACTCCGTGTTTTTTCTTTCTTTCTCATAAGACGATTGGCTAAATTGACAATCTCTCTGCATGGTCAACTAAGTGGAGTGTTTCTCCACAGTCCCGTTACATCTGGTACCATACTGACGTCAATTTCGACTTACGACTTTTTTTCAATCACGGAATGGTTTATATACCAGTGTGACTCTGACTTCGACTGAAAACAGATTTTAGCAGTTTAATCGTTTACGATGAAATTACGCTGTTTCTTCGTCTGTTGCCAATACTATTATTGTGACAGATATTTGACATAAAGTTTGGACATAGCTGATGTTACAATTAATAATTGTAACGTCAGCTATGTCCAAATTTTATGTCAAATATTAATAATTGTAACGTCAGCTATGTCCAAAATTTATGTCAAATATCGGTCACAATACTATACTGTGATATAAAATCTACATCTACTCAGATTGACGGCATAGCACAACAATCTGTAACCAGCTTATTCTACGAAGGCCTGCGCTGAAGAAAGTCCAACGCTAAAATTCTAATTCCTTTGCTAATATACTTTTATTGACTATAATGCCATAATAATTTAAAAAAAAACTCTACCCCTTGCACGTGAAAAGTGATGATTATTTGAACAGCGAATCTTAAAAAGTTTAAAAAAAAAACGCATTTCATACCGTTCAGTGTTGTGTTGTTGGCTAGCTGTTTTATTGATGTATACCTTGCATCTCCTTTTATTCATATTTTGTGTTTTATGTGTCAAAAAGTTGTTACCTATTCACTAAATATTGAAAATATTTCGCATTTTATAGTTGATGTTTATCATTTAAGAAATCTGTTTCACGGCACCCCCCTTTTCTGAAAAAAAACCCAAAATAATACAAAAGGCAAACGTAAAACAAAAACACAAAAAATTGTTTTCAATACATAATACGTAACAAAACAAGCTACTTCTTTCAGAGGTTAGCATACGATATATAGGGTTTGAAACCCTTATATAGTACACAATTTGCCAAATTTCCTCAGAGAAGGTATTGACAAAAATCTGGATCGTTATATACGTATTATCATGATTATATACGTTTGTAGGGTTTTTGCCATTTTTCGATTATTTTGAAGTCGTGATCTGCACAGATTAAAATTAAATAGTCCTAAAAATTTTAAACAACGAATCAATCATAAATGAATCTGTATCATGGTTTTTTCCTGATAACAAACACAAATTTTGGAAAACTTTGAAATATTCCCGTATTATAATATCTTTTTCATGAAATATTTTTTACATATAACTTTGCATTGCAGGATTCGTTATCTAACCGCAGTCTAGTTAATACAGTCTAGATCTGTTGGGAATTTTATAAAGATAAAAAAAAAAGATCTGTTGGGAACTTAGCCCTCGATGGGACTGAGTGCAACCCGTACGCACGTTGAGGCGGCGACGGGTTTAAATCTTAGCTACAACTTGTCCTATATCTCTCCTCGTAATGTTGTAAGATACAAGGGGGATACTAGAGATATACAAATAACTTTAGTATATTAACCTTGTGACATTTTCTTACACGTGTGTGTGTCCCGTCCCATGTCAGCAACGTTGTCGTTAACGATCGTATGTCATATCGTAATGTAGGTCCCCCCCTTTCTCCCCTTATATTTATAGAATTAAGTGTTAATAGCAGATCTTTGTCTCTGTTCAATTTATAGATATCTTTCATGGAATCGAGACAATTAAGAGCGAGTTAAATAGACATTTTTTTTTTTGGGGGGGGGGGGGGGCATATTTGTCGTTGGGCTGCTGTTCCATTGACGTATAATCCACGATTCTCGTTCTATTTCACACTTAATTTTCCGTGTATATTACTGGCGGAAAATAAATATAAATCTGATATCACTAATGTGACATATTGTTAGGACACCTGTCTATTGTTGAAGATTACATGTCTCCCTCAAGATGTCTTTTTGTTATTTCTGTAGTTTGGTTGCTGTCGCATTGACGTATACCTCACACCTCCTTTTATTCATGCAGCACTTACTTTTCCGTGTGTACTGATGGCTGAATTTTTTTTTATAAATCTGATAGGCAAAGCACTGCCAGTTTTTCTTTGTATCAAATATAGTGGATTGATTTGATTGTTTTCTGCTAAACGTCCAGTGGCAAATATTCCATGCATATTAAAGCCTTTGTGTCAGCAAATCAAATCGTAAAGATATTGCATATGTGTCTACTTAAACATTTGGTTTTTTGTATTTTCTGAGTGAAGAAAGAAAGAATTCTACAGAAACGCAGACACACACTTGCTTCAAATGTGTTTTCTGGAATAAAACCACTCTGCAATTTTAAGCATGTATCGCTATTTTGTCTTAAGTTCAAATAAAGTGGCAGTCATTGCATAGCAAAACTATACCTTATCCTGACTTAACTGTGCTGATGAAAAACTCAACATATCTTTTATTGCATAATAGAGCGCACTGGTTCCCGAAAGTTGGGTAGTATAAAAACAGGTACTTCTGATCCGAGTAACTGTGCAAATATGGCCCCTATCATAATTTCATATATTTTTTTTATTATTCACGAGAAACTTTCGTCAAGGGTTCTACAGTGATCCCAAGACGTGGAGCCTTTCGTTTGATACCAATTAGTTATCCATTTTCTTTTACTTTTGGACAAAGTTACAACTATGCGTGGGAACTATTTTGTTTAACATATGTACTACTTTCTTTGTATGTTCTTTGTGACCGGGCCCGAATTATATACCTTCTGGGTGTCAAGCGCAAAATAAAGGAATTAACGCACACACAGTTTTGGAAAATTAGCGCAGCTCTACGTAAGTCTTACTAATAATTGTCCGGAGACATATACAAAAAAGCAAAAACTAAACGAAGAGGAAAATGACCAAACAAAAAACAAAAAAAATCTCCTTCTCTCGTGATTATATGTTTTATATCAATAATAGTCAGACTCTTTTTAAAATGATTTTGCGACTGTAAAAAAGCCGTTTTCAATATGCAAATGTCTTTGTTTTGTAATATTCTGTCTGGATGTAATCACTTTAACTGCTTCTTCGGCAGTGTTAACATTTGATTCTTCACTGCAGTGTATATTGATTTTTGGGATCCACTCCGTCTGTTTTTCTCTCTGATTAGACGACTTGACAAATTGTCAATCTCTCTGCATGGTCAAATGAGTGGATTGTTTCTCCACAGTTAGATGAAACAGCACTTCGATCTGCAAATACAGAATTCGCTACAGAATTCAGATGCCCTGAATTCCGAAATCTAGATCATATGTTGCAAGCATTTAAGGAAGGAGTAATATCTCTTATTGACTTTCATATTCCATCCAAGATGTCATCATCAAAACACACACACCCATGGGTTAACACTCAGACTCGCCGCTTGAGTAGAAGGAAAGCAAGAGCTTACAGGAGAGCAAAAACCACACATTTATTAGAATGTATTATATACATAATAGATATTAGCAGATGGTTGGTATAATGGCAAAAGATACTGTCAAATCATATTCCATCATGTTTGTGTACGACATATGGAAATAATTACTTCATTGTTAGTTTTTCAATTAGACATACTGCTACAAGTATACATAACGAAATAGAATATCCTTACTAGGTTAGAATTGTAAATGTTTGTAAATCTACTAAGTTATTTATTAGACATAAGTTCATACTGAGTAATCATGTCAGTTGAATTCGAAGAAATGTCACAAAAATGTACACAGCATTATCATTTTTTGGTTCGTGATATCACAATTGTTTATCCATTCTGGACGCTTTCTGAAAAAAAAATGAAGGAAATAAATCAATTAAATTTTTATCTTTTAAGCTCTAAATTTGGTTTTCGATGATTCTATTATAAGCTCAAAGTCATAAAGAATAGAATAATCTGAATTCAGACACATTTTATATATATTTTTTTGGCTTATCTTTTTTTTTCGGATTTTTTTTAAACATCTTTAAAACCAGGTTTAATCCACCACTTTCTACATAAGGAAATGCCTTTACAAAGTCCGGAATATGACAGTTGTTTTCCATTCGCTAGATGTGTTTGGGCTTTTGATTTTGCCATTTTATAGAGGACTTTCCGTTTTGAATTTCCCTTGGAGTTCAGTATTTTTTTTTTTATGTTCTTATTCGTTATATGAAGCCATTCTTTGATTTTTATATACATTCCACTGTTGACAACAGCAGACATGAATCAAATATGAATCCATATTAGGTAATACATGTAAAAGAGGCGAAAAATACCAAAGGGACATTCAAAAGTCGAAAATAAACTGACAACGCCATGGCAAAAAAAAAAGAAAAAGATTAAAAGAGAAACAACAGTTGTACACAAAACACAACATAGAAAACTAATGACTGAGCAACACGAACCGCACTAAAAAACTGGGAGTGATCGCTGATGCCCTGGAAGAGTAAGCAGTATTATATTTACAGCTTGCATAAAAGAGAAAAACCATTAAAACTTAAAACTGGAAGTTTTAAGTAGCAAAAAGTAAAATAACAAAAATACCGAACTCCAAGGAAAATTCAACACGGAAAGTTCCTTATCAAATGGCAAAATCAAAAACTCAAACACGCCAAAGGAACGGAAAACAACTGTCATATTCCTGACTTGGTACAGACATTTCCTTATGTAGAAAAAGGTGAATTAAACCTTGTTTTATAGCTAGCAGAACCTCTCACTTGTATGACAGTCATACACAATTCCATTATATTGACAACAACTTGTGAGCAAAACAAACAGACACAATAGATAAAATGTCAAAAATTGGGATACGGCAGTCAGTATCCAGTAATTTCGTACCATAACCATTTCGTACCATTGTCATTTCGTACCCAAAATTACCATTTCGTACCATGAATTTGCCATTTCGTACCATGAACATAAACCATTTAACATTGTGTTATAATCTTAATCACTATAAACACAAACAACTATATCATATGTATGGTGGTCGGATGCGGCCATTTCGCCTTTTCGCGTTTTCGCGTTTTCTCCTTTCACTTTGCAAACGCGAAATCGAGAAATCGAGAAATCGGGAAATCGAGAAATCGAGAAATCGAGTAAGCGAAATCGAGAAATCGGAAAATCAAGAAATCGGAAAATCAAGAAATCGAGAAATCGAGAAAGCAAAAACGCGAAATCGAGAAATCTATTTTTTCGCCTTCACGTTTCTCGTTTTCGCTTTCTTGATTTCTCGATTTTTCGATTTCTCGATTTCCCGATTTCCCGATTTCTCGATTTCTCTATATCCCGATTTCCCGATTTCTCGATTTCTCGATTTCGCGTGAAAGTGAAAGGAGAAAACGCGAAAGCGCGAAATGGCCGCATCCGGCCACCATATTTATGGGCTATTTTCTGTGTTTCATAACCACATTCGACATAGTTCTAACAACTTGATCAAATATTTACTTCCATAAAAACTATAATACAAACTTGAATAACTTCCATCATGACATATATTTACATATTACCTTTTCACCTATCATGCATTTCAAACAACAAGATTTATTTTCTGTAATAACATATCCTTGACGAGAGTATAAATTCAGTGCTCGATTTGTTGATACCACCAATAGGTACATAGTCTGAAATTAAAAAAAAAAATTAAACATCGGACAGCGAGATAGGACTAATTTCCCCTTTATTACCACCACAACAAGGCTATCTTCATTCTCACAATATGTACTTAGTAGCACAGCTTTATATGTGTACTTTTGTGCTTCTAACACTAGCATTGGTTATTTTCCTTAAAACTGATGACCAGATTATAAACGCCTGAAGTTCTTTGTCAAATGGAATATAAACTTGTCTATAGTTTGGTAAATTTAAAATAGGTTGACTTAATCAATTGGAAAGACACTGTCTTGTCTATTATTGAAAACAATTTGTCCAGATGTTGTCTTTTTCTTTTGTTACTGGTATTAAACTGATGATAGTAACGTAGACCCCTAAAAACGATTGAACTTTTTTTCTTGTTTTTTTTTTTTTTTTTTGGTCAATCAAAGAATAAGCCAGGCTATTTGTTAATACATTTAATGCTAGCATAATACCAATCATCACAGTTTTATGTCTAAGACTTCACGTTAAGCTCACTTGAACCCAAAATGTCAAGTGAGCTATTTTCGTAACTTGTCGTCCTTCGTCCGTCGTCAATGTCCGTCGTCTGTTAACTTTTACAAAAATATTCTTCTCCGAAAGTACTAAGCCAATTGAAACCAAACATGGCCACAATCATCATCGTCTAGTTTTAAAAATGTGTCCGATGATCCCGCTTGCCAACCAACATGATCGACATAACAAAACATTGAACATAATGGTTAAATGCAAAGTTTAATTATCAAAAGTCAATATTGTCGAAATCGTCAGACGACTCCTAATAGGAATTTTTGTCTTTAAATTATATCTTTTACTATTTATTTCATTTTTGCCTATTTGATAATACATATAGAAATCATAAAAAGAATGAACCGTTTTAAGTAACTTTCATAGTACTTACTTTACAATTTTGCTTTCTTGCATCTGTTTCAACAACGTCCATGAGTACTTTGCCAATTCCTTTCCCTCTAAATTTGTCATCGACACATATAGCTTCAATATAGCAATAACCGACAGGAACATTCTTCTCTACTGTTGCCATATCTAAGCATAGCAACCTACATACACATAATGGAAAAGATAATATTATTCAGATGAGAAAATTGTAAGAGATCGTATGTATACGACGAAACACGTTTTATACGTTTCCTTTTAGAACTTATACATATATACACCAAATAACGTCAATACGAAGGCCATACAGAAATGTGCGTCATTCCGTGCTTCAGCAATCAAACTTTTTTTTTGTTCGTTATCACTGTACGTATTTTATATGATTGTTGGTACTGTACATTGGTATATTTTGGTGACTTACAAATCGAGAAGGTTTTTTGTTCTGGATGACTGACTTTAAATTGACGGATTTTGAAACAAAAACATATTTCTAGTGATCAGTATTTGTCATTCCAGTTGACTGACTTTTCCCATTAAATAAAAAACATTATGGAAGTTCTCAGTTTAATTATAAAGTAATGAGATGTGGTATGATGGACAAGGAGACAACACTTTCCTCCAGAGTCCAAATGACATGGATTCAGGCAACAACAGGTGACTGTACGGCCTTCATCAATGAGCAAAACCAATACAGTATAGTCAGCAATAAAAGATAGTGACATGACATGATAAAAAGTGAAAAAAATCCAACTAAACAGCTAACGGCCTGAAACTAACGACATTCGCCGTATTACAGACAGGTTCATACATAATAGGGCGGGGTTTGACATGTAAGTGAGCGTTCTAAGCTTTGACACAAGACAGTTTAAAATCAGTTTAGGGTATAAGCCACAATCTAAAGTTAACCAATGAACATAATATTGTCAGTGTAAGTCTAAGGTACACCTAGCCTTTCTTTAAATTTCCCAGAATGTAAATTCAATAATTAGGCTGCAGGCGTGGCCTTTACTTCAATATTAACCACTCTATATCCTTTTTTCTCCGATGTATCAAGGCATGTCAAAGATTTTTGTGTCGTTTTACTATAAACATGTGCACATGTGTCGTTTTACTATATACCTGTGCACATGTGTTGTTTTACAATATACATGACTTTTGTGCACATGTGTTGTTTTACTATATTCAATGACTTTTGTGCACATGTGTTGTTTTACTATATACATGTGCACATCTGTTGTTTTACTATATACATGGACACACTACAATTTTCTTGATGAACATTGCCAACAACAGTTACTTCTCGTTGTTTTAAGTTGTTGCGATACTTTTTTTCCAAAGCTATACATGCATATATACAGCCATGTATGTATATCATGTTTCTGAAAATTATTACACAAAATTAATGTGTTTGTAACTTCAATATTGTCGAAACTAAAGTTACGCTTATAACTGTCACTAGTCAGAGTCTCATTGATATATACCCCATGCACATCGCCTTCCATATTGGAGGGTCTAGATTGGGGGGGTCCTTCAATTCTTCATTCTCTAAATTTTTAAAGCCATTTTTCTATATTCTTTTATAAATTTTGCCTGTTAATCTCTATTCTTTTTATTTTAGCAACCCAATATTCTCTATTCTTTATCTTTTGGCCTAATTTTTCTCTTTTTATATTTTTTTGCCTTTTATTCTGCACTTTTTGTCCATTATTCTCTATTCTGTAAACCCAATCCAGACCCTCATATTTGTACTTGGTCTTGTACTTACCCAAACAAATCACAGCAATCAAAATATGGAACTATATCATTTGCCCTTTCACTGTAAAATATCATGATTGTAGTAAAAGAACGTGTACGTAACGGTAGTCATGGATATATGTAAATACATTGCCATCGGTCAGTGAGAAATATATACTATTAAATTTGGAGACCAAAATTGTTTAGCCGGTTTGTCTCCGAGCCGACGATCGTCTGAAGTATTATATAATAATAAATTGTTAATGTATGCTTTAATTAGCGTAGCTTTATTAATTAAACCCTAAATAAAGTTCCGTAGCTGGTTCCTTACCGTCTACGTTTTGTTAGTAGGCGGAAATGGGACGATCGTCTGAAGTATTATATAATAATAAATAGTTAGTGTATGTAATGTACTTTATAACTTCATATATTAATTGCTTTAATTAGCGTAGCTTAATTAATTTAACCCCAAAAAAAGTTCCGTAGCTGGTTCCATACCGACTACGTTTTGTAAGCAGGCGGGAATGATTTGTATTCAATTTGTCTTGAATTTATGACAACTCGGCCCACGGCCAACTCGCCAAACTCAAACACTCTCACTAATTATTACAACTTGCATCACTTTATCAAACTCGCACCATTCAAAAAAAAAAAAAAAAAAAAAAGAAGAAATATAACAAACTCGAAGATATGTGTTTAATCATTAGATTGTTTGTTTTCTTTTCTTAGTAAATTCCTCCTTTCTCGGAGCACCCTTGTCACACAAAGACAGAACTCGGACCACTTGAAAAAAAATACTACAAACGAGCACCTCTGAAAAATGTTTTAATCATCAGTGTTCTAGGTTGTCTTATTTTTCTCTGAGTTATTTCCTCCGTTCTAGGAGCACCTGTGTAACACCGAGACAGAAGCTACTAATTGGACATTCAAACTCCTATGGACGAAGAACTGACAAACTAATCAAAACTATCAACATAATGCACCAGTGCATAAAAATAGTTTGAGAAACATGAACCCAAGCTGTGTATCACCACAAACATTTCAAGTAGTCTTCAACCCGGGATTTTTCTAGTATGTAATAAATTTGTCGGGAAGGGGTACGGGATATAGTATTGTTGCACTCAGTCGTATCTCTAGCCGGGGTTCTTGGCTCGTTGTTCGACATGCGCAATATCTATTAAAGCAATAAAAGGCCCCGACAATAATACAAACGCCAAAACAACGGCCACACTTAAGTAAGAAGCAATTTAAACGTAAAACAAATATGTTAGACAGCAACAAACAACAAGCACTGAAATACAGGACCTTGACTTTAGACAGGAAAACATGCGGAATGTGTCGGGTTTTAACGAGTTTGTGAGAGCTAAGCCCTCTCGTACACGGGGATTGTGGTTAACAACACAACATAAAACAAAGTTGAAAAAGGTTTGACTCATCAGATCGACAAAAAGCGCAAGAAACAACTAACAAATGGACTTAAGACCCAAAGTACCCGTCTTAGAATATTGCAGTTACTAGAAGCTAGTTAAAAGCCAATCACAACTAGTAAATAAATCATGTTGCCCAGACATAAAACTTCTTTTTAATTTTTGGAAGTGCAGTTAGACCCCCCCCCCCCCCCCTCCTTCCAAAATTTGAATCTAAAACAACAACTAATGGAATATTTCCGCCTTCTGGGCGCTCGTCAATACCGCATTAAAACTTGTATCGTGTAACATGGTTTCCGTCTAAAGTAAGTATAAATACAGAGCCAATGTTTTTTGTTGTTTTTTTGTTGTTTTTTTGTTGTTGTTTTTTGGGGGGGGACGGGGGGTGTATGTGGCGAGGGGGGAATGCTTATGACGTTCGACAACAATTGTTATACCAAATCTTTTATAAATAAACAATATTTGACTGCATACAAAAACGTATTTACATAAATTTAACTCAATGTTGATGTTTACCTTTCAGATAACAAAATCGTACTAATTAGCAGTTTTACAGTCTGAGATATACGCTACTCGTAAATCTAAACCACAAAGCAATAGAATTGATGTCTTAATTAGGGATCGTTTGGAAAGATAAACAAATATTTCAGGTATAACATGCATGTAACATGTACGTACATAATCGATTTGAATGGTATCAGTTTGAAAAAAAAAGATCGGATATTGAGTAATAGCTAATGCAGATGTTATTTGTTTTTATTTGTTTTTCACTAATATAAAACTTATTGTATGCATACATGTATTATAAAACATTTCGCATTAAATTTTACAAACCTAAAGAAATATACTAGTGCGGTGACACACATGCAAAAAGTCGTCTAAATATTGAGTTTAAACACCCAAAATAACACACGGCTAGAACGTATATTATTTTAACATACATATGTCTACTTTAGTAAAGATATAGACATAAACTTTATTTGCTTGTCGCTATATGTACACATTTGTATTTGATTGTGGGATAAACTTGTTAAAGGCTATTCCTGATAAAAATATCTAGGAGAAGGTATATAAAATTATTAAGTTATTGATGATAAAAAATGAAATTATAAAACTTTAAATTTAACACGGAAATTGATCACTCCTTTCACGGTCATTAATCTTTAATTAGCACTCAAGTAATATTTAAATTTATTGTTTTATTGCTATTATATATAATGTTTTCCAGTTTATTGTTGTGATGTATAAGCAAATATGTATTTATATGTTTATTTTTTAGTATTTTCGCCTTTTCGTGTAAAAGAAAACGGTCGTTTTATTTAAAAGCAAAATCAACGACGGATATTTTGAGTGAATTCCGCGTTGATCCGTCTAGCCCACTGAACACTAGCGCTATTTAGCTTCGTTTTTTAAGGGCGACCTCTTCGACAAATCTATCGTTAAACTTTCTATCAAGATGACCGAATATGTAAAAGTCAACCATTACATCAGATCTTAAGATATTCCAAGTTTCCAAGTAATCGAACTGGTTTTTTTTTCTCCCCCAAATTGATTTTTTTTTATCTGGCAACGAAAATAAGCAATCATTACTTCATGATCTTTAGAATTTTATTATATATTAAAACCAAAAAAAAACTATTGCACTATAAGATATCAAAGAATTTACTCTATCTGAATGTTTAACTATCTCAAATTGTAGAACGTATTTATGCAAGGTGTCATTGCCTGTATGACAAAAGCCATGAACGGGGGGCACATATGATTCTGCACATTATCCATGTCGATAGACAGTTTTGAAATTTTTACTATTACAGATAGAACTGGTGGAGACTGGTCTCATTGGCATTCATAGCATATCTCCAAATTTTCATTTTTATAACAAAAGATATCTCGACACGGACGTTTTAATTCTTTGTTTTAATTTTTCTTTATTCCTGAAAATTAAAGATGATCTGTTGTTTTTAACAGTAACTATTACTTTCACCAAGTACATAAGA